CTCTGGTGGTATAGTAGTTATGAGTCAGGCTGCTTACCTCAAGGTCAGCAATTTGAAACTACCAGCCGTTTCGTGGGAGAAAGATGAGGTTTTCTGCTCTCATTAAGATTTACAGCCTTGGAGACCCTATTCAGGGTCGCTATCAGTCAGAATCAACTCTACATCACGTTACCACTGCCACCACAATTTATATGCGTGTGTGTTTGTGTGTGTGTGTATAGTTCTGGTGTGGTGATAATGCACTGGATCACAAGTTTGATTTGAAACACAAGGTCAGCGGTTCAAACTCACCGGTCACTCCTCAGAAACCCTCTACATGTTGCTATGGGTCAGAACTGACTCAATGGCATTTAACAACAGTATATAGTGTAAAATTATTTATTTAAATTTTTGACTGTGTGACAAAAATGTTTTCTATAAGTCTCCATTTGCATTGGAACATTTAAAGTTTACTGGGAAAGATAAACTTTGATTACAAAATGTAAGCAGTTACACTGAAAGATCAGCAGTTTGAAACCACCAGTTGCTCCACAGGAGAAAGATTAGATTTTCTACTTCCATAAAGATTTACAGCCTCAGAACCTCACTACACAGGGTAGTTATTAGTAGGAATCAACTCAGAGTTGCCAGGAGTCCCCCTTTCTCCTCAGGCCATATGGAGAACATATAAATGAAAACCCCAAAAAAAGAAGTAAAACTTGAAAAGAACGTTTAGAAAAGGAAACAACTATGTTCGCTATATAAAAGCCATGATTGAAAGAATGTCTTCACAGAACCTAGGGCTCAAGGTTCAACCAGACATTCAGTTCAGCCAGACCAGCAGTAAACTCCGTTTTCCCAATGGCCCTCCTGCTCTCTCTACTGACAGCACTGGTGATGCTCAGCTATGGCCCAGTTCCATCCCTGGGCTGTGATCTCTCTCAGAACCACATCCTGGCTAGTAGGAAGACCTCTGTGCTTTTGGGCCAAATGAGGAGACTCTCCCCTTTCTTCTGTCTGAAGGACAGAAAGGACTTCAGAATCCCTCAGGAGATGGTGGACAGCAGTCAGCTGCAGAAGGTCCAGACCATCTCTGTCCTCCACGAGATGCTCCAGCAGACCTTCAACCTCTTCCACACAGAGGGCGCCTCTGCTGCTTGGAACACGACCCTCCTGGACCAACTCCACAAAGGACTCTCTCAGCAACTGGATGACCTGGAGACGTGCTTGGTACAGGCAATGGGAGAGGAAGAAGCTGCCCTGGCCATTCAGGGCCCTGTACTGGCTGTGAAGAGGTACTTCTGGAGAATCCGTCTCTATCTGAAAGAGAAGGAATACAGTGACTGTGCCTGGGAAGTTGTCAGAGTGGAAATCAGGAGATCCTTCTCCTTATCAGCAAACCTGCAACAGAGATTAGGAAGAAATGATGGAGACCTGGATTCATCTTGACTCAACTTTGACTGATATGCAGTCTCACACCTGCATGCGTGTTTGATCATTTCAAAGACTTTCATTTCTGCTTTCTGTCACAGGATGTATTAAATTGAATTCAGCAATTACTTTATCAGTAGCATTAAGCAAGCGAATGTTAAAGACAGTCAGCTTCAGTGACATCAGTCTTTAGGAGATGACTGCTCTAGTTATTTATTTATCTATTTATTTATTATTTATGTTTGTTGATTCATTATGGCTTGTTACTTGTTTGTATTATTTGCATCTTTTCATTTAATAAAATGTTCACATTTACATGTATTAAAACATGGTCACTTTTCTGCTCTGTTACTTTTTTGTATGTGTTTATGTATTGAACTCTTAATAAAGAAAACTTCTTTTTCCTGTTATTATGAATTGAATGAAAGATTACAGAGAAGATCACTTTTCCAGTGAACAATTCATATAAAGCAAACTTACTGAATTCATTTTCAAAGACCAAAATGAAAACCATGAGTTTATAAACAAAAGAGAATGTTGTTGTTATTGTTAAGTACCGCTGAGTCTTTTCCGACGCATAGAGACCCTGTATAGGGTTTCTGACGAGCATCTGGCAGGTTTGAACTGTTAGTTCAAACAGACCTTGCAGTCCAGAGTTTATGCAACAGCATCACACCAGACCTCCAAACTGTAAACACCCACAGCAAAAACAGCATGGAGACCTGGTTTCACTTCCTCTGGCTTCACAAAGGGGAATGAGAATTAAACTCAAAATCAACCCAAGACTGATTATTAAGAAGCAAATATTAGACATGAGTCTTCCCTTCAACCTTCTTTACCCTATTCTGACACCAGTTGTCCCTCCCCCAGCATTCTCTGCTTCCCATCTCAGTGTGATAATCCATTGCAATCACAACACAGAGCTCACAAACAATACTCATGATTTGGAGTTTCTTAGAGAAGTGAACAGGGTGCAATTCAGAATCAGGGTACAGCAGTTGTCCAGTCAGGAACCCCTCCTCTTTGCTGTACTATAGTCCTACTTTGCTCTAGTCTTCCTTCTCTCAGTCCTGTAGCCCCTCTAATTATAACACCGCTTGGATAAGAGTTACAATACTCCTTTAGTCAGTATGTAAACATCCAAAGGACATATTGTATATATAACCCAGCCTTTACCTGTAGGCACTCAACTTTACTCGGTGCCTGGGCCAGGTATCCCTTGTCTGCTCTGTGAATTCATGCTTCCTTCTCTGACACTGCCTCCGATGAGTTGCTTTTCCAGATGTGTCTCATGCTCCATTCACAGACCTTCTTTCCTGAGGGTTCTAGTATTGTCTCTTCCTGCTTCTGAAATGGCTCCTTTTAAACTTAATGGGATGTCAAAGCTAGCCAATCGAGGCATTGTATACTCTGTTTGCAGCGTAGTGGTTATGAATTCGGCTACTAACCTCAAGTTCATTAGTTCAAAACTACCAGCCATTCTGCGGGAGAAAGATGAGACTTTCTGCTCCCATAAAGATTTATAGCCTCAGAACAGCTGGTAAGCTTGAACCACTGACCCTGTGGTTCAAACCAACCTTGAAGTCCAGCACATTAACCCGCAGCACCAGATTAGGTACCATATTTTTACTGAAATAACTCACTTGTTCTTTGTGAGCTCCAACCCCCCGTAACCATTAGCTTCCTACTGGCACTATGTACACTATACACATGTGCACGTTTATATAGGCACATAGCTTGTGAAAAATACAGCAATTGTCATCAAGTACAAGTGAATGAAGAAACACAATCCTTCCCGTGTTGGAACTTCTAATAGTACCGGAAAAGAAACCCAAATCAATATGGATATTTACTTAATTTCAAATTACATGACACACTAAGAGAAGAGGCAAAAAATAATAATAATAATATTGTTGTCCTGGTTGGCACTGTGGGATAAAGCACTGGACTGCAAGGTTGGTTTGAACCACAAGGTAGGAGGTTCAAACTCACCATCTTCTCCTTAGAAACACTATACAGCGTTGCTATGAGTCAGAACGGAATTGACAGCA